CTTTCCAAGGCCTTGCTTGTAACCACTATGAAAGACAGACTTACAAATTGTAATCGGTAATTCTTGTATTATTTTTATTCCCTCTTTAAAATATGGTAAGAGAGCAAAGGATTGTTTAGAAAGTTTGCAAGATGTAAATAGCAAACCCAGAACTATAACCCAAGTACTACTATTCTGATCCAAAGGTCTTTCTACTAACCCTCCTCTGCCTTCCTGTGTGTTTACATACAATATTGCCCTTTGACTTATTTTAGAACCTTAGATTATTTTCATTTAATATGTGTACCACACATATTACTGAGGAATTTCCACATTTGTATTTGGATATGTAAATTAAATTCATCTAGAAATTTGAAAGCTCCTAAAATGCCAGTGGACTGATTGGAAACTAGTGATTTTTGAATGAAAGAGCTTTTGACTATACAAATGAATGAACCAGAAAAGTGCAGCTGTGTTTAGAAAGAGGCTTTCTAATAGACCAAGGCAGAATTTATTAGGTATTCCCTCCTAATGAGTTCCATATAATATTCTCTCAGCTAATAAGTTAAAGATCATCTTTATAGCCGACAAGCCTGTAGATTCTGACTTAGATTTTTTTTTAAAGCTTACATTTGTTAGTAAAGCAAGCAGATAAGATGCTGCCATTGTGTGCCTAATTGGTGTCCTAAGAAAGAGATTTCTAAAATCTAGATGGCATGAGATTGAAGCAGAGGATGTTTACCACTGGTCAATACCATTTTCTTTCTGCTACATTTCCATCTAATAAACATTTAAAAGAATATCCATGAGAATATACCATAAGCTGAGCTGAGCTTTTCAAAAGCTAAAATTATTTGCCTCTTCATTTTGTTTAGCATTTCACAAAATGCTGTTTCTGTTATGTGTCCACAATGGCATGGGGTGAGGCAATGCTAACTGACTAATAAAATCCCTGTTTGATGAGGTAATTGGGAAAGGACCTGTAGTTTGACTGAATTCTTGTTACAGCATGGAGGGCTTTGCCTCCTTTTGGCTGCCTCACTAGGAATGATATTAATTGAACTGAGTTGCCTCAGGCTGCAATTTGGGATTTACTAAAAATTGTTGTAAGTTATAGGATTACAATCAGATGGAAGTTTTAGTTAAGAAACAAACATTAGGTAAAGTGCCTTACATCATAAGCTAAGGAAATTTTGCTTTACTGATCATTATCCCCATTAACTAGGGAAGAAATTCATATAGTGCCTTAACATTTTCTATTATAATATTTCTGCTCTTTACAATTCATGTTTTTTCCCATTTAATTAGCATCTAGATTCAAAGTTGTATGACCTATAGTAAAATCACCTTTATTTATCTTTATTGAAATATTTCTTTTTTAAATTTTTAAAATTGTATTTTTTATTGATTTCAGAGAGGAAGAGGGAAAGATAGAAACATCAATGATGAGAGAGAATCATTGACCGGCTGCCTCCTGCACGCCCCCTATTAGGGATCCAGCTCAAAACCCAGGCATATGCCGTTGACCAGAATTAAACACACAACCCATCAGTCTCCAGGCCAACATTCTATCCACTGAGCCAAGCCTGCTAGGGCTGAAGTATTAATAATTCTTCTTCATTTTTCTTTAAGACAAGTGTTTTTCTTTTAGACAAATAATTGATGTAGTTTGTTCTCTCTTATGCTTTTAAATATGCATTATATTCTGATTTATATTGTAGTGATTTGCATATTTAGCATAAATATTCAAAATACTATATTGATTGTTACTTAAGAATGAGACTTACATTTAATTCATCTTTATAATTTTGGTTAACTCAAAACCTTTACCATATTAAATACCTAATAAGGATTTACTGATTTAACAATTTTTTTGTTTAGTAATCAACTCTGAGAAGGCTTACAAAGGGCTGTTTTGGGTGTGATGTGTGAAATTTGAGAATTTAAAAATACTTATGGCAGTAAGAATGCACTTATTAATTGGAATATAGAAATTTCAACTGAAATGGGATTCATTAATTTTCTCATTGTTCTTGCTGCTAAAGGGAAAAGTAAAATAACATGTATGCATATGTATAATATATATGTATATGTAGAGAGAATGCACAATGTATAAAAATATAAAATATCATTTTTATATACTTACACACACTAAGAGTATAACAAACCTTGAATATTACATCCATATTGTCCATTAATATTAGTTACAAGTAAGTCTGTAAAATATTTTTACTCCTTCTATCACCATTAATCCCAGCTTTCCCCTCTTCTATCTTTCTCACCCCCATTTTGCCCTGGTAATCACCCTATTGTTGTCTGTGTCTGAGTTTTTTCTTTCTTTGCTTAATCACTTGAGATTCTTCACCAAACTCCCAACCCGCTTTACCCTCTGTGACAGCTCTCAGTCTGTTCTCTGTATCCACCAGTCTGTTTCTATTTTGTTTAGTTGGTTATTTTGTTCATTAGATTTCACATATTGAAATCATATGATATAATATTTGTCCTTCTCTGACTGGCATATTTCACTTAGCATAATACTCTCTAGGTCCATCCAACCTGACACCAAAAGAAATATTTCCTTCTTTGTCATGGCTGAGTAGTATTACATTGTATAAATATATCACAGCTTTTTTATCTACTCATCTACTGATTGGCACTTGGGTTGCTATCAAATCTTGGCTATTGAAAGTCTATCTTATAAAATAGAAGGGGAAATTAAGAGCTTCTAAGACAGGGAAAAGCTAAAGGAGTTTTTTGTTTGTTTGTTTGTTTTGTTTTGTTTTACCATCAAACCAGTAATGTTAAGAAATATCAAAAAACAAACAAACAAACAAAAAACTAAAGGAGATTGTTACTACCAAAACAAAAATGTTAAATGTTCATCTTTAAGAAAAAGAAAAAAAATAAACAAACAAACAAACAGGGAACATGGTTAAAAGAGTAAAATGGCAATATTACATACCTATCAATAATCACTTTAAATGTAAATGGCTTAAATGCTTCAATCAAAAGGCACAGGGAGCTGAATGGATAAGAAAACAAAACTCATATATGCTGTCTACAAGTGACCCACCTCAGAATGAGAGAAACACACAGACTAAAAGTAAATGGATGGAAAAAGATATTTCATGCAAAAGGAAATACAATAAAAGCTGGAATAGCAATACTTATATCTGACCAATAGACTTTAAAACAAAGACTACAGTAAGAGACAAAGAATAACACTGTGTAATGATAAAGGGAGCAATCCAATAAGAGGATATAACTCTTAAAACATTTAAGCACCCAACATAAGAGCACATAAATATGTAAAGCAAACCTTGGTGGACATAAAGGGAGGAACCAATAGTTCTATAGTCATAGTAGGGGATTTTATGACTCCATTGAAATCAATGGATAGATCTTCCAGACAGAAAAGCAACAAGGAAACAGCAGCCTTAAATGACACACTAGATCACATGGATTTAATTGATATTTTCAGAGCATCTCATCCCCAAAAACTATGATATACATTTTTTTCAAGTGCACATGGAACATTTTCTAGGATAAACTTCATGTAAGGCCACAAAACAAATTTCAATGAATTTAAGAAAAGTGAAGTCAGATTTAGAATCTTTTCTGACCAGAATTGTATGAAACTAAAAATCAATCACAGGGGGGAAAAAACCCTGAAAAAACACACAAAGACATGGAGGATAAATAACATGTTACTAAGGAAGAAATCAAAAGTTACCTTGCAACAAATGAAAATGAGAACACAACCCCAAATGGGTGGGACAGAGTAAAAGCAGACTAAGAGGGAAATTCATAGCACCACAGGCCTACTTCAAAAAACAAGAAAAATCTCAAACTTCACGTTTAAAGAAATTAGCAAAAGAACAACAAACAAAGCCCAAAGTGAGTAGAAGAAAGGACATAATAAAGTTCAGAGAAGGAATACATGAAATAGACTAAAAACAACAACAATACAAATGACCAATGAAACCAAAACCTGGTTTTATGAAAAGATGCTGAACAAACCTTTGAAGCAGACTCATTAAGAACAAAAGAGAGAAGACACAAAAAAATGAAATCAGAAATGAAAGAGAAGTAACAATGGACCCCAAAGAAATACACAGGTTTGTAAGGAAAACATAACAAACAACTATTAAAGTCTTCAATAAAATAGCATTAAATAATATCACAATTTATATAAAAATACTTAAGTACATTTTATTATAGAATTGACCATACAAACAAAACTCTCCAAATAAATATATTTATTTGGCCTTATATATTTATGTTATGTGAATTACTGATCATTCTAATTTCAGCTTTGGAGAAATAAAAAGGTACTGTGATATTACTAGGAGTCTTAGAGATTACAAAGTTCCTATTTTCAGGTTGGAAGAAGATGAACTAAGCAAATCTAAGTAGTCTAGACTTTTAGCAAAAAAGGACATACAGAGTGGTCCTGCATAACATAAATAAAGATATTTACCTAATCTTTAATTATTTGTGACAAATTTAAAAATAATATTTAAATAAATGCAAAAAATAAATGAATAAAAAAATTTAATTTTACTTAAAAATATGTAAACATTTCAATAAAATAAGTTAAAAGTCTTAAATAATTACGGGCTCCCCTCAACCCTGCTACCTCAACTCAAATTACTTCAGTAATAGGGCATTTTCCTCTTGGTTTCTTAAATACGATATTAATCACATATCCTTTGCTATATACCAATTTAAATTAGATATCACTCTTTGTAAGGCACAATTATTGTGTATACTCTGTATCAGCAAACTAAAGTCTGTGAAGTAAATACAATTTAATTTAATGTGGATTAAATACAACTTCTCTTATCAGAAATATTTAATCAATGTATCTATCCTTTATTTTTTATCTTATCAGAAGCCAGAATTCAGTATATTTACATAAATCCAGATATCCCTTTGCTTCAAAAATGATTACTGTGTTTCATTATCTGGCCTTTTGACAACACAGACACACTTTAAAATGAGCTGATTTTACAAATTAGTAAATTTCTAAACTTTATTTCTCCACAGAGCCCACATAATTATAGCTGATATACCTCTACTTACAAAGTTTAAATAATATGTAATATAATTTTGCTTAATCTGTGATAAAACCATCAAAAATTATACAAGAATACAACGGCTTTCTCTGAAAGTTACAAGGAAGGAAATTTGAAATACTACATATCTTAGAATGGTGATCATAACAGGATTCAGCGTGCATGTCATTTTATCAGAATTATCTTAAGTATTTGCAATTTACACTAACTGCAGAGAATTATTTGAGTTTTATTTTATGTAGTATGCTTACCCTTCATTTATTCCTAAAGCAATATGTTTGCTATACATATATACATCATGTTCAGAGCATATGTAACAAGACCATGCTGCCATTCAAAATTAAGGTGCCACATTTGTTTTTGTTTTTTTAACAATCAAATGGCATCCAAATGCAATATATTTTCATAGATTGGCATTGATGAGTGAGGTTGGTCACAATGAAATGGGATTGTTTTTTATAGAAATGGGAAAAATGTATCATAAATATACAGACCAATATATAACATTGAAGAACAAGAAGCAGAAAGGAAACAACGCTCTTGCATAAAGGTCAATTCTCTTTGCTGCTGTTGGAATAACGGGTTTGGCGGGGGGAGGCTTCTTGTTGCTTTTTGCCTGAGATTTCCCAAGTCCATTGTTCACTTCGATAGGTTTCCCATAGCAGTCATAATTAGATAATTCAAAATCTCTTGGTAAGCTTCCCACAATGCTGAAGTCATTAGATCTCAGGTCAGACTTAGAAGTACAAACTTTTTTGCATCTGTTCTCACCAACCTTGAAATAAAAATTAAGCACAGAGTGTATTTATACTTTTCTATTTATAAAACACATCTCTTCAAAAGGTTATTTTTAAAAATCAGATATAATAGACAACTAGTTAAACCATAGAGTGCTTGGACATTTAACTCTAAAATGTGGCCTGTATATCAAGGTTTAGATCATGGAATGAACTTGATGGGTTATTTTACTACGTTAAGGGATCAAGATGCAAATAAACCTTTATCTTAGGTGCTCCTAGGCTTCTGAGTTCTCAATTGTAAGGCCAATGAATAAAAATCCAATATTTAATCACAACACAAACCATATTACTACAATATATGGATTACAGAAATCTTCCTTTACTTAAAGCTTTGAATTGTGGATACTATTTCCAAATAGGGTAGTTTATAAATGATAAAGGTATTTATCATCCCAATGAGACAGTGTTGTTTCTAAACCACACTCACAAATAAGAACTAAAAGATGGTCACCACTATCATGAACCACAGCTTTATTAGTGAAAGGAATTCCTAACTTGTTGGCTACAGTTAAATTAGTAAACCACACTCAGAGAACCTGAAGAAATTGTTCATATTTTAGCCAGATTGTATGCTACAGAGATTATTCTGTTCCAGACAGAAGACCACATTTAAAGGTCTAGGTTTCCAGGGCTGTTTGAAGAATGTGTAGGTGTCAGCATGTATCAGTGAGTTTTTGTAAGAGTACATAATTACCTTGACTGGAAGACAAATTGAGAACAGACTCTACATACCAAATCTTTGCATTATCCTCAAATTATCAAGGCAGTCTTCAAAATCTGGGACAAGGTGGATATGCCACATTTTCTCCCTTTAGAATTCTCCACTCTAAAAGCTTTAGATGCATTAACTGTACTTTAGATCCACTCATCAGAAAAAAGATCTCTAGCTTTAGACTTAGAAAGCGTGACTTCTTACCAGTTATTTTTATTTTTCACAAAAAAAGGCCACATGTATTTACTATAGAAATGCATTTACTGCCCAAACCGGTTTGGCTCAGTGGTAGAGCGTCGGTCTGCGGACTGAAAGGTCCCAGGTTCGATTCCGGTCTGTCAGGGGCATGTATGTTGGTTGTGGGCACATCCCCAGTAGGGGGTGTGCAAGAGGCAGCTGGTTGATGTTTCTCTCTCATGGACGTTTCTAGCTCTCTATCTCTCTCCCTTCCTCTCTGTAAAAAATCAATAAAATATGTTTAAAAAAAAAAAAAGAAATGCATTTGCTGTAAATCATATCTTATTTGTGGCTTTTGTATCTGTAAATAACTAAACAAGAAGCCAAATTTATGATATTAGGACTTGTCACACAAAAATACTTCAAATTGTTTTTATTTACATAAAATAAAATTTTAATTACTTTTATTTACATAAACATTCTTAGATTATTCTAGCAATTTTACTGATGTTAGAATTTTATCTATATAGTTTATTCAAATGTAGGTATAGAATATTTATTCAGAAATATTATTTAAATATAGTAAACATGTCAGTAAGAGAAGAAAGATTTCTTCAATATTAACATATAGCATAGAAAAGCACTCCAAAAAAAGCTTCAATATGGTTATACTAAATTTTTAACTATTTGTTTTGTTAAAACCTTTTCCAGAGATGCATTTGAAATCAGTGGGGTTGAGTGTGTGTGTGTGTGTGTGTGTGTGTGTGTGTGTGCACACACGCATGTGCACATGTGTTGGTGGAGAGAACCTCTATCTACTATAGAAGTAATTTTTACTGATATGACATACCTAAATAAGGTATAAGATTAAGTTTCTTACTGAGAAGTTCTCAGATTCCTTAAATAGCTCATGATTCATTAACAAACTGGCTGATCTAATCTTGTCCCTTTCATCAGAGATTTTAAACAGACAACTTTCTTTTTTTAATTACTCTCTACACATATGTATCATTTATATGTACATAAAAGTATAAAATAGTTTATAATATAAACACTATTTTAAACAATAATCACATGAAGAAGGGCTCAATAAAGTGCTTATAAGTGAAACAGTAACCTTAGTTATTAACACATTCTTAAAAGTGATCTTGATTATATTAATCTCCAATTTATAATTTCTCATTATTTTCTCATATGGATCTCACTTTCATATAACCTTGTCACTTCTCAAAATTACTGGTAGCAAAAATGAAATAGTATAATAATGAAACTATAAAAAATCCTATATAATAAAGAGGGAATATGCTAATTGACTGCCACACCCTCAAATATGGTGACAACTAAAGCCACAAGATGGTGGCACCCAATCTCCTCAGCCCTGCTGGGGCAGCAGGTGTGCAGCATGGCTGGGCCCAACCCTAGCCGGGTCCAGCTGCTTGTGTGCCTGCCTCCAGAGTCCTCCGTCCTTTAAGCCCTCCAGCTTCCCATGGCTGGCTGAGGTGCAGGCAAGCCTTGGATGACATTTGCCCAGCTTCCCCAGGGCCACCCGAGGCTCAGGTAACCAGGGCCAGTTGAGGCTTACACTACCAGCAGTGGCAGCAGCAGAGCTGTGATGGGGGCATTACCTTCTGATCACAGGGTTGCCACCTGCCCCTGAGGGCTCCTGGACTGTAAGAGGGGGCAGGCCAAGCTGAGGGATTCCCTTCTCAGTGCATGAATTTTCATGCACCAGGCCTCTAGTAAAAAATAATGCAGATTTAAAACTACCTAATACTTCAAATTTTAACCTCTGATGTTTTCCTTCTGATCCTTTTTCAGTCTGTGTCTATGCACATTTAATTCCAAATCACCTTTTATGATGTTTCTTAAACAGAAGACTTAGGCATAATTTCAATGTTATAGATAATGCTATTTCCACAGAAGATAAAAATATGATCAAAATGAATAAACTCAATATTTCACACAAAATTTAAATCAACATTTAACTTTAAAAACACATCATTCCTATAAAGAAACAACTATTTTATTCATGCATGAACAGCAACTTTGATATATGAATTTATTCAAATCCATATAAATGAATACTTTTGTCTTTTATTCAAAATACCTTTGTTGTAAATAGCATATACTAGGTATTAAGAACAAGATGATATTGACAAAAGTAGGTCCTTAACTGTACTTATTAAATAGAAAAGAAATATATGAGTGAACAAATTAGTAACCAAAATATTAGAACAGCCGAGGAAGTACAAAATTTAGGGAGGAAAAACTTAGACTATTATAAATGAACTAGAGGCCTGGTACATGAAAATTCATGCACTGGAGGGGGGTTGTCTCTCAGCCCGGCCTGCCCCCTCTCACAGTCTGGGAGCCCTCAGGAGCAGGAGGTGACCCAGTGATCAGGAGAAGGCAACACCCCATCACACCTCTCCTGTTGCCACTGCCAGCCCTGGGTGGCTGGGCAGCTACCATCTGAGGCTTTCCTGCACCTCAGGCCGGCCCTGGGCAGCTGGAGGGCTGAGGGGACTAAGGGACTCTGGAGGCAGGCATGCCTGCTGTCCCAGCGGGGCTGAGGGAACTGGATGCTGCCATCTTTGAGGTTGGGGCAGTCAATTAGCATATTCCATCATTATTGGCTGTGGGTGCTGCCAGTTTTGAGGGCGTGATAGTCAATTAGCATATTCCCTCTTTATTGGCTATGGATGCCTCCATCTTTGCAATGGCTTGAGGGTCAATTAGCATATTCACTTTATTTGATAGGATTTAGGTATATTTCTGTATGTAGTCAAAATTATGAAATTATGAAAACTTCTTACTAAAAGCTAGGTTAAATTATCATTGATCTTTCTTACATTTTTTATCATTATCTTTCTTAGCAAGAGCTTTATTTAAAAATCAGCATTAGCCCAGCTGGTGTGCTACAGTGCTGGAGCATCAAACTCTGAACCAGGAGATCACAGTTTGATTCCTGTTCAGAGCACGTGCCCAGGTTGCAGGCTTGGTCTCCAGTGGGGGGCATGCAGGAGGCATCCGATCAATGATTCTCTCTCATCATTGATGTTTCTATTTCTCTCCCCCCTCTCCTTTCCTTTCTAAAATCAATTTTTAAAAATCAGAATTAAATGTTTTCTACAATCCAAATTTTGTTATGCTTCCATTAATTAATATTGTTATTCTGTCTAAAAATAAATGACATATCTGATTGAAATTACTCAGTAAAAGCTTATGTTCCGAAAGCAAAATACAATAGAGCAAATAGATTTTGAAACCAAAAGCACTAAATAAAAAGGCAAAAATTGTTTAATTTCCTTTTTCATACTTTTTTTCATGTGTCAGTGTGTAACAATCTTACAAATTCATCACATACATTTACTGTAAGTTTGATGCTTACATTAAAGCTAAGTTATTTTTGGACACATACTCTCATTTTGAAGCCTGTCTGATGATATAAACATTACATAGTTACAAAATTAATTTTGGAAATTGCATTTTGGCCTGTAAGAAATAAGAGTAGTTTACATTTACATCTGGATATTAGAATTTCTGGTCAAGGTTTAAACTCTCTAAGCATCACACTCTTTCACTTTTGTAGTAAAATGTCATAGCAATTTTAGAATCCAGACAGGTCTGTTTCTACTAGCAACTAAAAACATAGAGGATTAAAATACAGAAGTTATTAAGCATATTGAACTTTTATTCATTAGGTCATTGTTTCATGCTTAAAAGCTGAATTTAAAATAATATAATTCAGTCTAATACTCTGGATCCTATTTATTCTTCATATTTATATTCATAAATAATCTTGATATGTTCTACACAGTATTCTGAAAATCTGGTTCTCATGTGCCTCCTTCCTTCAATACCCCACTTCATGGAACGCATTAAGATTCCAAGCTCATCTGCACATTGGTGTTCTGTGTTACTAGAGAATTTCTGCAGTTACAGAGGCCCCACCACACACCACAGAATGGAGCTGACTGTGGCACTACTGGAAGTCAGGCACCTGCTCTACAGGACATCTTTGCTTTCTATCTCCAGATCTCTTCACCGGGACCCAAGGTAGAGGGTGGGAAGATTAACTGGTTGGAAATATGAGGAAGTGGTAAGATTGGGAGATGAAAATGGGCAGGTAAGATATGTCAAAGACATGGCTTCTTTTTAAAAAAATATGTTTTTACTGATTTTTAAAGAGAGAAGAAAGGAGAGGGATAGAGAGATTGAAACATTGATGAGAGAGATACATGAGTCTGTTGCCGCATGTCCACAACCTGGCCATATGTCCTGACTGGAAATTGAACCAGTAGCCTCTGGGTTCATGAATTGACACTGAACCACTGAGTGACACTAGCTGGGCAAAGACATTACTTCTTTAAGGCCATCATAGCTCTGCATTAATGAAAATGTTATTCTCCATGAAAATGATTAGGGTATTAAAGACTTATAAGGTCGGAGGAAATGTCCTCCAACGTGGCAACTAATAATTTGCAGAAGTCTTAGTTGTAGTCTCAGAAAGTGACTTCAATTACTTAACAAAAAGGGAAAATCTATAGGCAGCATCACATAAGAATTGTTTGCTTGCTTTTGTACATAAAAATATGTATATAACATACTTGTCTAACTTAGGGGAGTAGTCAACAATCTGAGTAGTATGGGGCCAGCAAATAAAACAAGCAAATGTTTCAAGGTTTTAGGATGCAATGTACCAATAGTATCTTGAGAAATTTTCCATGATAAGCTCAGTGGAAGTCATCTACTTGTTTATTAAGTCTTCCCAACCAGAGGACATCAATTAGAGACACTTGGGAGACACTAGCCTAATCCATGAAGGAACCTGTTGCTTCCGGATTTATCAAACCTGAACCTATGAACATCAACCACTATTCCTAGACCTATGGTCAAGTACAAGATAACATGAAAGAGTTAAACCTGTCCGATTCTTCAGGCACTCACCCTAAGGCTGACAGATCTCTAACTATGTGCCTGTTTCCCTATGGGCCGGGCACCCAAAAAGTAAGCAGCCTACCTGTCATGTGCTGTGTGAAACCCTCTAAATTGATGGGAAACGTAGGAGATTTAATCAAGAGCACAGCTCCCATAAGTCTTCACTGTAACTAGAAGGTTGGTGTTTCCCCAGGAGTCCTCTGGCCTTTCACTAAAGCTCACAAATGAGAAATGTTTGTAAGGAGGTCTGGAGTTCTGGCAAGACCTCCACATGGGATGGTGACCATCAAAGCAGAGAAACATCATTAAACTCAGTGGAAAGTCCACCAAAAACGTGAAAAGGTGTTGGACTTTTCTCCTTAATGAGCATGCGACCTACACGTTTTCTGAAAAGTATGTTGTGCTTAGTTTCTTTTCATCAATGAGGAAAAAAATGAGTGAATACCAATTCAACCAAACCTTTAGACCCACAGAACAGATTTCTCTCCTGGCACTAAAGAGCCATGATGGAGGAAATCATCTGATTGAATAATTTCATTCTTACCTGCAAAGTGCTAATATGAACCGGAGTCCCTGTACCATTTACAGTATTCTTTTTAATGGCATTTCCACCTTTTCCTTCTGCTTGCTCAGCCTTAGCAATTCTGGCTTTTTCTGCTTCAACTCGTTTGGGGTTATTTAGCATCACCTGGACAACAGCATACTCCACGAGGGAAGCAAACCCAAAGAGAAGACAAGCAATGAGCCATACATCAAGAGCCTTCACGTAGGAGACTTTGGGAAGTTCAGCAGCAAGGGTTGTGCACTCAGAGGCCAAACTGAGTACTGAAAAGATACCTACAGAAACAGAAGTAGGAATTAAAGTTGCTATTTAGCCCTGTGAAAAAAATGTCCTGCAACCTTTACTCTTTGACTAAATCTCTGTCCAGAGACTCATGAACAATTCATCAGGTCCCTTTAAAGCACAAAGGGTAGAAGAAATAATACATACAGACTTTTTATGTCAGCATTACTTAATGTGGTTGGGGATGTTTATAAATACTCAGTACTTTAAACAAAAAAAATAGAAATTTAAACCGAGATATAAAAACACATTTTGGAGCTGGTTTAAATATTAAAGCTATCTAAAACTTTTCTATAGTATCTCTGAGGAAACTACAAAGCTTATTTCATTTCTTTAGCATTATTTTAGACAGTCATAGAGTTGAATTTAATCCCAAGAACAACTAAATCAGAATAAAAATAGAACATATAAAGCAATTTTCTGATAAGGGTCACATTTTTTTTAAAAAAATGTAATAAAAAAAGACAAAGTAGAGAACATTCCTGGTTATTTTAGAGAAAACAAATGATTCTGGTTTTAAAGGAAAGGATAAAATTCTGCAATATGTAATATTAATGGTACATAGAAAGCTAACTCCAAAGTACCCTTGAGAGCCAGACATTTCCTTATATTTTACTTTTTCATTAATTTTATTGGGGTGGCACTGGGCACTAAGATCACACATGTTTCAAGTGTATATTTCCATGATACATCATCTGTAGTCTGCTTTGTATGCTCACTTCTCAAAGTGAAATTGTCTTCTGTCACCCTATACTGGTCCTCTTTACCCTTCACTACTCCTCCCAGCCCCTTCCTTCTGGTAACCACCATACTGTTGTCTGTGCCTGTAAGTTTCAGGTTTATATCCCACATATGGGTGAAATCATAGGGTTCTAGCTTTTTCTGACTTATTTTGTTGCCACAAGTGACAGTATTTTATCTTTTCTTATGGCTGAGTAGTATTCCATAGTATAAATGTACTGACATTTCGAGTTATACAGGGCAGGGCAAAAGTAGGCTTACAGTTGTTCATATGGAAAAAGACATGCAGGTTATGATTATTACAATAGCTTTACTAACTCAAAAGAATGCCACAATGGCACACACACACACACACACACAAAAACAAACAAACAAACAAAAACAAAACAAAACAAAACAAAAAACAACAACCTACTTTTGCTCACCCCTGTGTTACTGCATGAGAGTAAAATATTTCTAGTAAACCAAAAAATATTGACGATTTGGGGGGAATGCATAATGTTTTTGACAAGTCTAGTAATTTAAGTCTAGTTTTGGGTGTTTTATTCCCAGAACATTGTACTGCCTTGTTATTTCTTATCCTCTACAATAATTAATCTATCAATCATCATTGTCTTAATACTGATATGTGATCCTTATAATAAAGTTTCCTACACGTTTGGTTATTAAGACATAGATTTGGTCTCTGTGGTTTTTATTAGATGTAAACCTCCAAATTTCTTATTCAGACAAAGTTGTCATTTTCATTGCTTCTTTCCTGGTCTCCTTTTCAAAATCTATAATTCATTTAGTTATTCCCATAAATTGGAACAGAGAGATTTTCACAAGGCTTTTCTGATAGAAGAAAAAATAATGAAATTCTGCAACCCATCAGTCAGTTCACTGAGAAGTCAAATATATCACATTTTTACCTATGTGAATTCTAGGTAATATTCAGAACATGCACACATGCATGCACATACATATACACAGAGTCATGAAAAGATTTATAACTCTCCAAACAAACACGTTACAATGTCCTTATTTTGGAATTCATTCCCTTTACTCATTAGAAAGGCTCTTGATGATCTCCCCAAGCACAGTCCTTTTAATCTCTATACTGACAGGATTTTTCACCTCTGGCTAATGGTGCTTCCATGTCACAGAACATTAAAAATAATGAATTGGAGAGTATGGATAACCTGCCCTACTCTTTCTAGCCACTGCTGATGATATAGCACATACTAACTGATGTTTAAGAAAATGATTCTTAGTCATTTTTTTTAAAAAAAGAAGTAGGATTTTATATTCCTGATAAAGAGTATAGGAAAGATTGTCTTAAAAGTCATTTTTTCTAAGTTTGTCACTATTTGGTATTTTAGGCTTTAGCTATCAGTGAATATCACATATTAATAATTATATTATGAAAGTCAAAGTAGGATAAATTTACTGTTGAAAATGGCCCAAGGATGGACACACACACACACAAACACACACACACACACATACACACACACACACAAAACAAAACAAAAAACAACTTAGTTTAATTAGAGAATGCCTAAATATTGAGAAAATCTAACTTAATGGCAGATTTTAAGGAGGTTAAAAAAAAAAGAAAGAAAAAGCTTGCCATCAATTCCCAAACTAATTATCTCAAAATATTTGACTGTATAGTTAGTGCAATAAAGACATCACACACTCCTGACACAAGAGGGAAGCATGGAGCACTTTACCCAGCGGCACTCTGGCAGCACTGGCGTCCGGGTTGATCCAGAAGGAAAGCCAGGAGAGAACCACGATCAGCAGGGTCGGGGCATAGACGCCCATCATGTAAAACCCAACCTGTCTCCTCAGGGTGAAGATGACTTCCACACAGGTGTAGTACCCTTTTCAAAACAAACGTATTAAAAACATGAGGTTCTCACATCTGCTTCAGAAATCATGTAAGGTACCTACAAGTTATGTTACTTTTATTTGAGACAGTTTTACAAAGTCAAGTAGTGTGTGTGTGTGTGTGTATGTGTGTGTATGATGTGGTCTATAAGAATGACACTGTCGTGCCAGTTTCACCTGACCTTTCACAACTTCATTATTACATTGATAAACAGATACCAATGTGTGGCTCCACTTACATCACTGTCTTGGCTAGAAGCCTTTGTTCAGAGAATTTGCAATAGACTTAAACTTTTCACTTGCTCTTAGAGCAAATGATCCCAAGGAATCATCCAGGGAGCAGTAAACCAAATCAGGACAAGTCCAGAAGAAAACACTCCTGGACTACATGTGGTCAGTATAATTTTTCAGCCTCATGTATCTCTTCTTATCTAGAAAGCATGGCAGTCTCCTACACTTACATGCAAATATGTAAGCCTTAAAAATTAAGAACGTATTGGAAATAAACATTAGTGAGAATAAGTGTTTTCATTTGATATAGATAAAATATTATAAAGTACAAGCATCTGTATAAAGTTCATTGGCAAATTCAATTTACTTTCTAATTCCTCTCAATTCTCCCTTCCTCCACTCCCTGCCCTCAAACATTCTCTGACTGAGGGAAAGGACTTCATTTTCACAAGCTGAGACAAATGCAGACATTTCTTTACAACATAATTTTAGAGCTGCCATGACATCAACTAGTCCCCCAAAATTAATCACAAATTATGAGCAGCCTCATAATAACCATTGCTGACTTGAGACAGAAAATAAGTGACATAAATATTCTCCTAACACTGGAATATTTCCAGATGTTTGAGTTTAATTTTTAAATGTTCTAATCCTTTCAGTCAGCAATTTAAATGTGATATTTAATGCCTAAAGCACTAACTTGAAATAAAAATGTCATTTACCATTCAACAAAAGTAAGATTATGTACAAATACCAAGAAGTTAAAATATCTTCAGTTGTGTTCAGCCTAAACTGCACATTGTTATTTATAAATGTTGAAACAAATAAATTTGACAATGAGTAAATAAAATAATTATAGGAAAAGGACAATATTACTTTTTACTGTTTTACATTTAAAAAGTAATATTGATCTTTCTTTCCATGGTTATAAAGAATGTATATACTCCTGACACTAGAACAATCATTATATTTATTCATTAATGGTACTTATAACAAAATTTGTGATGATTAGAGCTAACATGTAAGAACAATAAATAGCTGATTTGGACTGAAGCAAATTCTAATTATGCCACATGTTTCCATATTATCAAAAAACAATAAATGCAGAATGTTTGTTGTTTTTCTTTTTAAATTTTAATTTCATGAAAACTAGACACAAGGTTTAAAAGATACAAAAAGCAAACCAATAAAAAAAAAATCCTTCCCTTTTCTATTTCCAGCCAACTCATCTTAACTTCCTGCCCACACAAACAAGAACATATGTTTCTAACTAACAATCACGTGCACATTTTCCAAAACTTAATCTTCATAAACCCAATATGCAACGGTTAAGAGCTCACAGTATTTCCCACAAGTGGTTCAGAAGTACCTGGGCTTTTAATGTATCACTTAAGTTAATTTTATATTCATCCAGTATGTGAGAAATAAGGAATGACACAATATGCTTAAGTATTTTTAGGTAGCCCAAGTAGTCACAAATATGATAATTTACTAAAGAGTTCACTTTTAAAACAAATTTTTGCATTCCATCCCACCATGTGTAGTTAAGCGACAGCCCAAACAACATGAGTCTGTACTCTAAGGCTGGTTCCCACCACGTTCCCTTAGGAAGGCAACTCTGGGGTAGCTTCCCAAGATCTGGACGCATTTGGCAAATACAGGCTTGGATATTATCGCGATTTGCTCCATAAACTTTTATGAGAAACATTTCTTGACCTTTTTTGATCTCTTCCTGGTACTGTTACATTTATGAGAGGCAGGTGGGCAGCTAATTGATATAAATGTTCATTGGCAAATTCAATTTACTTTCTATTTCCTGTGGGATTTCATTTCATTATTGTTCACTCTGGCTTCCAATTTAAGTATTTTTGTATACTTGCTTTCCCACATACTTCTCCACCTTTGCAATTTCTACAATTATTAAAAATTTTTAACCAATTAGAGCCAATTCATTGTTTCTGTACACATTAAAGAAAATATAGGCCATTATTTTATATATGTTGTTCTCTATATCTTTTCACTACTTGATTGAACATTCCATATGTTTTGAATGTTCTATTTTTCTAAATATATTTCTAAATGTTATACAAAGATTAATTTATGATTTACTTGTATTCATATGATTCATGTAAATGCTGATAAAGCATGTTTACTGAAACACAGTGCCAAATATTTTTATACGAACCTTAAGATTTTTTGTTATTTTTTCTGTAACTAATGAGATAACAGGGACTTATTTATGATAACAAAAATTATACAAAATGCTTTACTTATCATAAATCTTGAGTAATTCCTCAAGTATTCTCAACCACAGCACACCTTTTCATGTACTTCTCAGAACTAAAATAAACTATATCTGTTTATTTATTTACCATATTAGAGTATGAATCTATAAAAGAATATCATTCTCTCTTTTATTCACTGTTGAATCCCCAAATGGGGACTTTTAAATGAAAGGATTAAAGGTAAAAAAATAAATAAATAAAAATTAAAAGCCCCACAATTTAATGCTGCTCCATAATTTTATGCTATTACATAAAATTAGAAATAAGATTACTAGTTTTATTTTCACTTCTAGATGAATTTTAAAACTTTGATAAACATATTACTTTCCCCCCCAAAACAACAGACTTAATGTTAAGCATATAATCTGGATGTGGGTAAGTCTTTTCAAAGTCCAATAGGACTGACTCCACAGGTTGTGTAGTGATGTCAGACTCACTATCCCAGGACATCATTTAGTAGCAGAAGATTTTGGGCAGTGTCTTTGCTTCATTATCCTAATGTAGGGGTGTCGAACTCAATCAGAGAAGGGGCCAAAATCTAAAATCCAGCCTAAATCGCGGGCCGAATGGTTTACTGAACAGTCATAAACTGTCATTGTGATGGAAACGCAGCGGAGTGCAGTGATGACAGCGCGGTGCGGGCCACATTGCAAGGCCTGGTGGGACGGATTTGGCCCGCTGGCCTTGTGTTTGACACATGTGTCCTAATGTGTAAACAGGGAGAATAAAAGTAATGAACTCAGAGCTTTGTTGTGAGGATTAAGTCATAGAATTCCTACAAATCAGTTAGAATAAAGCCCAAAATAGAGCCAGAACTCAAAAAATCACCTGCTAAATATGTGTTTTCACAACCATCTCAAATGATTTTTCTTGACTTCCAAGTTTGATTGTTTTTTAATTAAAATTACTAGGTGAGTTGTAAAAATCCCTAAAAACTGTAGTCAGTCTCCTTAATTTGAATGGGGAGTATAGAGAAAAGGAATACTATACTATATGCTTAGGCTATGGTTGACCCTGATTTGCCTGGTGACATTCAGTCACTCTACATCTATTTTATTTCAGTGTCAATCTGGTTCCTTCCATATTTAAAATTCTATGTGTCTATGATTTGTTCATTGAGTACTTACAAGACCACTTTTCTAAGAGGTCAGTTTTGCCTTTCAAAAAAACTCGGTAATTACTTTTTATTATCCAAGTATAGTTGATAGTCAATATTGTTTTGGTTTCAGGTATATAACATAATGACCCCATATTTATAAAGTTTATGAAGTGATCACCATGATAAGTCTAGTAACCATTTGTCATAGTACAAAGTTATAATCCTAGAGGCCCGATGCACAAAATTCCTGCAAGTGGCTTGGCCCCTGCCTCTGCAGCAGCTGCCTCTGCCTTTCCCCACCACTGCAGCTTCATTGGAAAGGTCATCCAGAAGGACGTCTAGTCTAATTAGCATATTACACTTTTATTATTATATATTGCTGAATATATTCCCTAGGCTATACATTACATCCTCCTGACCTGCTGACTTATAGTTGTAATAAGTGTGCACCTCTTATTCCCCTTTATCTTTTCACCTCTGCCATCATTCCCCTCCCCTCTGGCAGTGTTATGAATGCAACACTAACCAATTTGTAGACAAAGTTAGTTTAGCATCTGTTATTGACCTTTAAATAAAGTAACGGGTTATATAACATTTCTATGTAAATAAATAATGTAAAATATATGTAAATAGTCCCCAAAGACTATTTAATACTCGATTATTAAATTAAAAAATAGATAACATTTATATAAAAATTGACTACACACCATTTATATGTAAATAGTTCCTAAATACTGTTCATTTAGTTGAAGATCAACAACAACAGATGTTTAAATTAACTTTACCTCTGAGTTGTCTAGTGTTGCATTTATTACAATACTCTTAATATGCAAATGTTCACTCCGCCTTTTATTTTAATATCAACAGAAATATTTTAAATTATATTTTATTCTTGATGATGTCATGATGGCAACACTTTAGCTCAAACATTTGATATTGCTGAATTCTATATATTACACTATACATTGTTATTTTTGAAGAATTGACATAGATGTTTCCATAAATGTAAACTCTATGTCTATCCCTGAATATCTTTGTCTTGATTTACTTCCTAAAATGTAATTAGAATTGTGTGGTATTTACAAGTCAAACTGATGATTAGTATTAATGTAATGATAAAAATTCAATCTCTTTTTATTTATATTGCTGGTTAAAATAACACTATATTTAATATATAAAATCACTCAGTAACATATAACTATCAATAAAGACTCAAAGGTTAAGAATAATCATATTGTAAAGGATTGAGTAGTGATTATTGTATTTTTATTTCTGTAAAAGCTTGAAGTAATTAGTGAATGAGGTTAATTTGTTGTGCTTTTCATAATTGGCTATTCCATAACCTAGGTCAAATATATTAAACATACAAAAATATTGACTTATGTCCAATTACTTCACACACTTATTGCTTCTTGCACAGCATGAAGATTAATGTTTTTTACAACTAATAATATTGGTCAACCACTACCTAAAAATTGCTCACAGACAATAAATGAGTATAAATGAATTATGTTGCTCCTATCCACTGTGTTTCGCTCCAAATTGAATCTTCCCAGAAGTAGAATTTCTTCATAACATCTAAGAAAACCACTACCTGGCTAAGTTCATATTACTAAAATAAAAAATTGAAAACCTCTTCCTACCCAGAATTATATTAAAAAAGGCAAAATTCTCCAGTAATAAAAATGTTTTTAAAAACTTTAGTGAATTCAATTTTATGAGAGATTTAAATTCAATAATTTAAAGATATACTACTTATAAATATTTAACTTACTTTAAACTAGTTTTCTTCTATTTTGCCCTTAGCATATATTAATAATAAAATCTTTGAAATAGAATTTAGTTTTGTTTAACTGAAAGATCATTACTTACCAGTGCCTTTATAGTATTTTGTACAGTTACCATATTCAATATCTTCCTTTTTAATATCAAATTGAGGCAAGGCAATTTTTTCTAACTGAACAGGATCCCCTGACTGCCAGATAAATCGTAAATCATCAGTTGTGTAACCAACTATAAACAAAAATAAATAAAATTATTAGTTGAAATGCAATTATTAATGCTTTCTTAGTATTTTAATAATTCAAATATTCACACCAAAATAAGAGACATAAAATTGTTATTAAAATTAGGTAGTATCTATAGCCACTGATAAAAATATTAACACAAAAGTTAAAGATAGTTGTCTTAAAGAAAGAACATGTTAAAATAATTAGCATATTATAAATAAAATCCTAGGGTCATATACATTATTTGAGGATTCTGCAATGTCATCAATAAGAAAAAGTAATAAATAAGTGGTACTAGCTTTCGAATCATGCAATATAGTGCCTGGAAAATTTAAAATAAATATAAGCACCAAAATATTTTAAAGAAAATTTTTAAGAAGTAACTACAAATTTCCCTAAAGGGGTTGCATCGCCACAGGAGAGCAATAAAAAACAATCCCTTCTCTTCAACCCTCCCAACCCCCTACCCTGCAACCGGCCTAGTGTCCATCATTATGACATTCTGAAGCACACATTCTGGGCTTAAGTAATGTGGCTACTACTCAGGGATTTATCACATGGGCTTTTACAGCATATAATAACCTACCGTTCAACTCTAAAGTGCATATATTTTTAAAGCAATATTTTATTTCGTCTGATAATAGAATGGAATATGAATACATAGTTGAATTTTTAAATTAAAATACAAAAACACACATATGTATGATATATACACCAACATGGGCACATATACACTAACATCTGAAAAAGCTTATTTTATACTTAGAAAGCAATAAATATTCAAATTTAAGATCCAGATTTAGTAACTTAAAAAAAACCTAAACAGCTAATAATCGTTAATTTTAAAACATATCATTCAACAAGATATGCTTGCATACAAAGTTATTATTGTTTATTCTCCATAGAAATAGGTTATGGTAAACAACTAATCAGGTTAAAGATCCCTTCTATTAGTGTTCATATTTTGAGTTTTATTTTCAAAAGTTAAGCACTTTGGCAAATTAATATTTTTAGAAGTAACCATTTCAATTAGTGCACCTATTTCATGTTTTATGCTATGAAATATATCTGATCATAGAAGCATAGAAAATCCACTTTTGTAAAAAAAATAATGTTTATACACCTATAGAAAAAATGAATGTTTGGTAGGATGTAAATAATATTTTTTAATGTTTTTCAAATTTTCTGCTCTAAAAATGTGGTTTTAACATCAGAAAATTTTAGGACAGCATTTTCTCCTTTACCATGCTTACCTTACTAATTCAAATGAAGATGGCAATTGGAATAAGTTAGAAGTGAACATCTACATCAATTTAACTGTAATACAACATTAGTATAGTACCAAAAGGATTTTTTTTAGTACAAGTTAATGTAGTAAAAGACTAACGATAATCTCCTTAAATAAATATCCTAATGACTATTTGTAATCAAAAGCCTTAGTTTTTACCATTGCTATCTAAGATATTAGTAGAATGCATTGCTTAGAGATTTTAAATATTTTTATTCCTATAGTCATTTAGGGTTTCATTCTACATACAGCTCTCAAGTTGCATTTTGCAGCGTTGTGTATCCATGGGGAACAAGGTCAAGTCCAATGGGCATGAAAGAGTAATAGATAACCTGAAAGTAGAAACAGAGGTCATAGAAGTCATTTAGCATATTTTTACCTGATACGCTGATTTTAAAAAGAAAATATACATGTACAAATATGAAAGATCAAACAGTACCTCATGCTGACAAGGACATCTCCATCCCGAAAAATAAAGAGGAGGATATTCTCCTGGGTTACATCATGAAAATTGGCACTTTTTTCATTGGCAAAAAACAAATCTGGTTTCCACAGACACTTGTACATGGTGGGATCCACTGTCAGGGCATCTGAGCCCCTAAAATCACTGGGGAGCTTCAGCCTTGGATCATTCCATTTTTGTCTCAGGAAAATATTAACTCTATAGTCCTAAGGGAAGAAAAAATGTGTGCAGGAGTGTGTTTATTGCCAATTTTAAGAATATATTCAGTGCCGGATTTAAAAAGGCTTCAATGGTCAGCAGCAGAAATATTTTCCTCTGCTAACATTAACCAGGATTAAAACAGCTCAGTCACTAAATACAAAGAGCTCCATCAGCAGTACAAAAAGACCCTTGTGTCTATTTAATTACTCTCTACCGACATTTCCGCAGCACTTGCTAGCTCAAACGTCAGAATATAACTTTACCAATAATTGCTTTACCTTTATATAAATACAAAATACCAGTTGGTTGGGAATTGTTATCATAAAAGCATGGGAACTGCTAAACATAACCATTATGATTTCCAAAAATCATAATAAAATTTAGTTAATAATAGACAAGAAGCCAGAGGAAAATATTTCTACTTGTCTTTTACTAAGTACTAGTAGAAAACTATAAAAATAATATATGTATATAACTATGTACATTATAAAACACATTATATATGTTTTTCAGAAGGAAAAGGAAAAACTATCAGACATGTAAATGATTACACAGAGAAAATTAGATAATCAAATAAGATTTGGATTATGCAAAACAGATAAAAGCACATGCAAAATATTATGTTATATTCAATTATGGTAGAAAATGTTTTCAAATCTACTAAGTAATAGCTAATTAGGCTTTAGGGTTTTTTTTTTTTTTGTTTGTTTGTTTTTTGTGTGTGTGTGTGTGTGTGTGTTTGTTTAGTTTAGTTTGTTTGTTTGTTTGGCCCATCTCCAAATGCTTTAATTTTAAAACTATGTAAAAATTGAATTATATAAAAAAATTGAATTATATCAAGACACATAGATTTTAAGAAAATGTAAACTTAGGAACTATTTAATAACTTAATACATTATATATTTATCATTGAAATAGGATTTTGGCACAAATTGGGTTGTTAGTATATACAGTCAAACTCAGCATTGAGGCATCAAACTCAGGTCTTTTGATTTTAACTTTTATATATTTTTAAAAAATACATTTTATTTTATTTTGGAGCAATAGGAAGGGAGAGGGAGAGAGAGAAAGAAACACTGATGTGAGAGAGAAACAATGACTGGTTGCCTCATGCAAACACCCAGACCAGGGAACAACCAGAAACATGGTTATGTGCTCTGACCAGGAATCCATTCGGCAACCCTTCAGTAATGGGACAACACTCAACCAACTGAGTCCACACTAGCCAGGGCATGATTTTAATTTTATGTAGTGAACTCAGAATGTCTACAAAAATGTTCTAGGTATAGATTGTATTGGGCTTCATCTTCCTTACTGGTATTTTAAATAACTCAAAATTCATAAAATACTATTCTATTTACCCATAGCCTTTAACATAATAAAAATGAATTAGGTCTTAAATTTCAAATCTAAATAATTAAATAGAAAGAGATGATAGTTTATCTTATCCTATATAATAAAGAGGTAATATGAAAATTAACACTCATGCCATCACAAGATGGCTGTCTACCACCAGGCTGGCAGGGGGGTTAGTGTAGGATAACCAAATGATTGAACAAGCAGGTTGCATGGGGCAATCAGGCTGGCAGGAGGGTTCATGAGGGATGACCAAATTACTCTACAAGCAGGCAGTGTGGGATGACCAGGCCTGCAGGGGAGCCTTGAGGGGCAACCAGGCCAGCAGGGGGAGCAGTTGGGGGTGACCAGGCCAGCAGTAGAGGAAGTTGGGGGTGACCAGGCTGTCAGGGGGGAGGGGGGGCAGTAAGTAGTGACCAGGCTGACAGGGAGCAATTAGGGGTGACCAAGCCCCTGAGGGTGGGAAAGTGCAGTTGGGGGTAACCAGGCCAGTGAGGGGGGGCATTTGAGGGCAATTAGGCTGGCAACCAGGCCAATGGGGGGGAGCTAGGGGCAATTCAGGCTGGCGGGGGACAGTTGGGGGTGACCAGGCCAGCAGCAGGGGGCAGTTAGGGTGACCAAGCTGGCAGGGGTGGGGGGCAGTTAGTGGTAGTCAGGCCTGCATGCAGAGGCAGTGAGGGGTGATCAGGCAAGTGTGTGTTGGGGGGGAAGTTAGGGGTGAACAAGCAGTCAAGTAGGTGAGTGATTAGGAGCCAGTGGTTCCTGATTGTGATAGGGATGTCTGACTGCCAGTTGGAGATTGGGCCTAAACTGGCAGTCGGATATCTCCCAAAGGGCCCCTGATTGGAGAGGGTGCAAGCTTGACTGAGGGGACCCTTCCTTGTACACCAGGCCTCTAGAATTAAATAAGACCTAATGTATTTTCATCTACGGAAAAGTATATAACATACATACATACATTTTATAAATGTATAACATAAAATTAAGCATAAGCAATAAGTAATAACTCTAGAAAAGCTTGGAAAATTTACTTTCTCATACGATCTTTGGACAGTGTATAGTAATTAGAGAGAGTAAAGCACATAATAACAGCAAACATTTACCAAATTATAGATAGTGAAGTAATATTTAATTTGCCTACATTTTACAGCTACTCTAAACTTGATATTTATCAAAACTTCAACATATGAATTGATTTTAAAAAGTCATAAGTAGATGGTTTTGGAATGCCAAAGTCAAATACATTAAGAATTATTATAAACTAACACTGAACATATCTGCACCACTGGTGGAGGGGGCGGGGGGAGAAGAGGGAGTAATATTTTCCCAGTTAAATGAACATGGAATTAAAGAGAGAGATTAAAAACAAATAAAAACAAACCCTAAAACCCTAGAAAATGGAAACCTCCCATGCAGATACATGAATCCCCCCCCCCCAAAAAATATACAAATATTAATATTTTAATATTCATAATGGAACTTAAGTGATTACTTCAGATCTGACTTTGATTGTGACAACTACAGAAATTAACTCAAATATGTCCAAGACAAAGGCTTATCTCCCCCACATAGTAAGCCTTCCAGTAGACATGATGGTGCTTCCTAATAAATGTTCCTATCCATGTCATGTAAACATGTATGGCCTACCACTTGTGAAGACTCATTAGGTTCAATCATTTACACTAATAAAAAGGTAATATGCTAATTAGAGCGGGCCGATGGGACATATTCCAGAAGTCTGACTTTCTTCCAGACAAAGCCATGGTGGCAGGGGCTGAGGCAGAGGCAGTTAGGGGCGATCAGGCCAGTGCAGGAGAGCAAGCAGTTAGGGGGTGATCAAAATGGCAGGCAGAGACAGTGAGTGGCAATTAGGTAGGCAAGCAGAGGTGGTTAGTGGCGATCAGGCAGGCAGGCAGGTGAGTGGTTAGGAGCCAGCAATCCCACAGGGATCAGGCCTAAACTGACAGTCAGACATCCCCACAAGAGGTCCTGGATTGTACTGGGCTGAGGGACCCCCACCTCATGCAGTGAGCCTCTAGTCTAGGGGTGTCGAACTCAATCAGAGAAGGGGCCAAAATCTAAAATCCAGCCTAAATCGCGGGCCGAATGGTTTACTGAACAGTCATAAACTGTCATTGTGATGGAAACGCAGCGGAGTGCAGTGATGACAGCGCGGTGCGGGCCACATTGCAAGGCCTGGTGGGACGGATTTGGCCCGCGGGCCTTGTGTTTGACACATGTGCTCTAGTCTATATATATATAAAAGCCTAAGTGACTGAACAATCTAATGACCTGTCAACTAGTCACTATGACATGCACTGACCACCAGGTGGCAGACACTCAATGCAGGAGCTGCCTCCTGTTGGTCAGGGAGCTCCCACAGCAGGAACGCCGCTCAGCTGACCAATGGGTGCCAGTCTTCAATCTCATGTCTGGAGAGCACAGCTGCAGCAGCGTGAGCCTCTTCTGTCTCTGAGGCAGTGATACCGAGTGGCAGGCTCAGTGGGGCTGGTATGAGCCAGAGTGGCACCGGGCCTGGGCTCAGACTCCTCCCCAGCTGCCTGTCACTTTGCCCACGATTACATCACTTAGGCCGAAACCGGCATTCAACATCCCCTGAGGGGTCCCAGATTGGGAGAGGGTGTAGACCAGGCTGAGGGACCCCACTGGTGCATAAATTCGTGCACTGGGCCTCCAGTTTTCTTATAAAATACCAAATATGTTGCCTCAGTAAATGCACATGGCTGGTGCCCACTTGACATTACTTTGAGCACTGAACAGTAGTCAATTTTAAATTATTTGCTAAGAATAATTTGTGATGATTTGTCAAAATGATTGGTATTCTAAAAGTATATACACTAAAAACTATTTTTATCATCCTCTCTAAGTACCTGGTCTTATTAAGGAAAATCATCAAAATTACATCTTTAAACTATAATATTTAAAATATGCATTCACAATATTATGATAACTTGTTATCAAGAGTCAGTATAAAAAATAGATGAGCCCAGTTGGTGTGGCTCAGCGGTTGAGCATCGTCCTATAAACCAGGAGGTCAAGGTTCAATTACTGGTCAAGGTACATGCTTGGATTACAGGCTTAATTCCAGGTGCCAGGCCTGCAGGAAGCAGCTGATCAATGATTCTCTCTCATCACTGACATTTCTATCTCTTTCTCCCTCTCCTTTCTTCTCTGAGATCAATAAAAATATATATTAAGAAAATAAGAAAATAACTACATGAGGTTGCCCATGTATTTTTTTATAAGCTTGTTATTAAAGCCATGGCCCCTTATTTTGGTCAATGCCCATTATATGAAAATACTCAAGATGAATTCTTTTTTATTTAAGTTCTAATTTGTTTATATGTATATTACTACAATACCATTTTATAGGTATTCACCATTATTAGGCATATTTGACCTAAGTGCTTTACAAAAATACAACTATTTTTCAGTTTATACTATGAAAAGGCTCTCCTGATGTTCTTATATGCTTTTTAGTATCTTATCATGTTTTCATTTCTGTCAAGCAGCTAGGGAACTGAAAGCTAAATCCTATAGCTAACTGGATTAATTTATTTCTCAGATCCTAGTGTGACTATCATTGTATGATTCATTCACATTTAGAACTATTTCTTTGTAGTTTTTG